CATTTGTTGTCTCAAAATATGAGCACATCTTCTGAAGGAATTGATAAATACATACACCTTGTAGAATGTCACCTGTGTGTAACACATGGCTAATTACTGTGTATCTGTCCATCACACAACACTTGGTCCGAGCCAATTAATGACCAGTTTAATTATCAAATTCAAAGTTGGCTTCATAATTAGTGTTAGCATCCTGTAGCAGTGACTAACCTTTATGTTAAACAACATGAAAACAGTTTTTAACATTGTGTTAACAATTCAGAAGATCACTGATTTGGATCTTAGCCTCCATCAGTGCATGACGCAACAAAAATATCTTACATCAGCACTATTTTCAAATTGATATCTGCTGTAAAGGATACTGTTAACATACACAGATGTAGACTTCCATCAGATTGATTGTACAACTGTAGACTTCCATCAGATCAATTGTACAACTAAACATACACAGATGTAGACTTCCATCAGATTGATTGTACAACTAAACATACACAGATGTAGACTTCCATCAGATTGATTGTACAACTAAACATACACAGATGTAGACTTCCATCAGATCAATTGTACAACTAAACATACACAGATGTAGACTTCCATCAGATTGATTGTACAACTAAACATACACAGATGTAGACTTCCATCAGATTGATTGTACAACTAAACATACACAGATGTAGACTTCCATCAGATTGATTGTACAACTAAACATACACAGATGTAGACTTCCATCAGATTGATTGTACAACTAAACATACACAGATGTAGACTTCCATCAGATTGATTGTACAACTAAACATACACAGATGTAGACTTCCATCAGATTGATTGTACAACTAAACATACACAGATGTAGACTTCCATCAGATCAATTGTACAACTAAACATACACAGATGTAGACTTCCATCAGATCAATTGTACAACTAAACATACACAGATGTAGACTTCCATCAGATCAATTGTACAACTAAACATACACAGATGTAGACTTGCATCAGGTCAGTTTTACAACTAAACAAACACAGATGTAGACTTCCATCAAATTGATTGTACAACTAAACATACACAGATGTAGACTTCCATCAGATTGATTGTACAACTAAACATACACAGATGTAGACTTCCATCAGATCAATTGTACAACTAAACATACACAGATGTAGACTTCCATCAGATTGATTGTACAACTAAACATACACAGATGTAGACTTCCATCAGATCAATTGTACAACTAAACATACACAGATGTAGACTTCCATCAGATTGATTGTACAACTAAACATACACAGATGTAGACTTCCATCAGATCAATTGTACAACTAAACATACACAGATGTAGACTTCCATCAGATTGATTGTACAACTAAACATACACAGATGTAGACTTCCATAAGATCAATTGTACAACTAAACATACACAGATGTAGACTTCCATCAGATTGATTATACAACTAAGCATACACAGATGTAGACTTCCATCAGATCAATTATGCAGTCATGGTCACTGTCTCGCCAATTGTGCATCCAAACATACGGCCAACAAATGTGGCCAATGAACACTAAATCCAAAGGAATTTAATTACATGCTACCTTATGAAATATATCATGAAGAGACCCTAAATTAAAAGCCAAAATGAGCTATTCTTAATTATGCAATATAATTTTTTTTATCTGTACATGATTTAACTTTTGTCAATATATGGTCTTGGGCTCAAAACACAGATGCAACATTCAGCACATCTGTAGTCATTGTGACACAACAATCATTACACATAAGTATCTGAGACAAACTCTTGTTTACTGTTTATAAATCGTCAAGATAATCAATCTTTCACAGAAGGTATCAGACACTATTAAGTATTAAAGTCAATAACAGCAATTAAAAAGGACACCCTATTTGTTTGAGTTTCACATCTTATGAGAGCTGAGGTCATGTGAAGATAGTATCCACCAATGATTTGGCCTCTAACTGATTCCATTATAGTGCTATCACACCGAAATATCATATAATGAACACAATATATATGGAACTCCCTATTCAGTCACATTGTACCGACAGTAGTGTAACAAGTTATTTTCCATCCCATTGATGATGGGACAAAATGGAAGCACAAAGTACAATGATTTTTGTTTGTTACAACTTAGAAACAAAATCTACAGACTTCCTTACTTGATGCTAGGAGATCACATTTTGAGGCTGTTGAGGCTGACATTCGGAGAGAAGAAAGTTTCTTAAAGAGAATATTTATAATCTACTTTTTATGATTTATTGAAATTGGGTCAGCAAGCAGAATTTTTATTACCTACCTGCAGCAAGGCAGTCTACAAGGAAAGCACAAAGATTCTTTATCTAACTGCTACTAAGCATATAACACCTAAATTAAGGTTTTTGTGTAATTCAGACAATAGTATGAATCAGAAAAAAAACAAATCACCAATTCTGTTTGTGCTAATGCATGGCAGCTAACCCATTTATGTGGACTTTGTAAGGTCAATATTATAGATGTGTTGTAGTTAAAACTGAAATCATTTTAAACACATTTCAAAAAAGTTAGTACTGCTACCTATCGTGTGTTTACATGTATTGGTCAGTTTACCATAATAACAAACGCTCCCTCCCAAACTGATGTCATTGATTTTTTGTCGTTTGTACAGTCAATCATAGGCTTTTTCCCAACTTGGACTTCATTATTTATTAATCATTCTATAATGAAGGAAACAAAAAGCAAAATCAATCAAGCATCTTTGTGATGGTAATTTTTGTCCAGTAATTTCAGGGTTTGTTTTCGTTCTTACCATACTTCAGATATGAACATGAAATTTCCTTTTTAAACAAATCTAAAGCATGTAGATCATGAATTCTACATTTCTGTACTTATAGCGGTTGGTCAGACAAACACTGAATTTAATCCTCAAATGTACAAAGCTTTTATAGACTTGACATCATTCAGAACAAACATTCTTTACGCTCCCTGCAATTTCACTCTAAAAAAATGAAATGATTAAAGACAGCACAATGAATACAATCAGATCAAACAACAACTGTTGCCATAGGCTTTCGAGTTGTATAGTTGATTGTACAGGGTATGATGCTTACCATGATATATTTTCAGGATACAATACTTTTCATTATGATACAAAAGACAACATGAAAGTGTTTGTTTGGAAAAGAAAAGAAAGTCCTTCTAGGAAAGATTTGCCTTATTAAGAAAGCGTTTTTTTTGGACTTCAGTTTTATGGTATATGATAGTACTACCAAAAATATCATCACTGAGTCTAGCTTACACGCTTTTAAACATTTCCTCATGATCTTGGACAATGTTGACTCTATTAATTCAAACTCTACCTTATTTTCAGAAGCAGAATTTCTCATATTTTGAACAGGTTCAACAATATTCATTTCATTTTGTTCAAAAAGATAGGTATAATATTATAACAGAAACTTGACCAGACATGTTGTCAGTATCTGTTGATTTAGATGTCCAATCAGGGATCTACAAGAAACATGTAGCTTCATATAGTCACATACTTAACTGATTCACACACGCATCAAGCAATGTTCCTGAATTAAACAATAAGCTGTACTGAAAATTCAAGCAAGCCCTATGTACCACTTATGGTTTTCAACAGATAAACAAAATTTCTTCACCTGATTTAAATGTAGCTAACCACGCCCACTCGTGACCATGCCTCCTACTGACCACGCCCCCTAGTGACCATGCCTCTAGTGACTATGCTCCCCAGTACAACATGAAACATAAGTCAAGTTTTGTTGATCTTCCTTGTTACATGATCCTTACACAAAGAATAAACAAGGACCAGAGGCAGCACTACCTGTTCCACAGACACAGTTACTAATGCAAGACAGTGCTGGAGTTGTAGCCTGAAAATAAGGGAGGTGTGTGTTAGGAGAGTGGGGGGGGGGAGGGTACAGTTATTATATATCATGTGATCCTTGGCCTGATCCATATGAGACATAATAGGAATAATGCTCCCAAGACTTTTTTCTCTTTGGTATTTGGTAAAGAACTGTATATCTCATTTTGGAAAGAAAACTTATCAATTCGAAGGGAAATATATAACTCCCTACTTTGAGAATTTTTCAATATTATGAAATATTTGGCCCAACAGAGTCGCCCAGGAAAACCTCTGACTTCACACTGATTTTAAATTTGAATTCATCTCATTAACACCATGTTTACATAATTTTAACTGATTAGAAAAATAATATGGATGATGCAGTAGATTATCACCTATTATACACCACAATACAAATCCACAACCATCGTCAATCTCATTGCTTCTTCCTGAATTTTTATGTACTTATCAAAAATTGTGATTTAGATCATGGCAAAATAGGTATCAATTTTTAAACTGTAAAGTTTGAAATATTTTACAAAATCATATATATATATATGGTCAAAGAAATTACACCTCTGGTGATTTTTACCAAAACATATATCATTTCTCTCAACGTAAACATAAATAACATTTTTTACCCTTCTTGCGTTAAAAGAACACAGTACTTCCCCGCTATTAAGACGATGTTCCTACGATACGTGGCTAGATGCCTTTAGGTGAAAACCTAATTATTCTAAATATATCAACAGAAAATCATGTGAGAGCACTGAACAGTGACTACTCACATCTCTCTTATCTAGTATTTGTCCCTACACTTCTTTAACTTTTATTTTGTATTATTATTTATTTATTAACACATCCGACAGGTGCGCGCACGTGACTTTCAATTATAACCATCATATCGTCCACAGGTGTTTTTGTTTACGTTCAGTGTATGACAGGTTTTTATAACGGGCGTGATTTATTAAACAAAAATGAAATGTCAAAAGCATATTTAACGAGTTTGGGACGTAAATAAGCCCCCAAATTATAAAGCACACTGATATTTGGGTTTTTCCACAATAACCAGTCGCGTCTGCGAACGGATAACTTGTATGTAAATGAAACCCTTTAAATCGTATTCTTCATTGGTATAACTTACCTTTGTTATTGGTTATGAGCCAGCTTTAACAGATTACGACTCTGAAAGAATTCGTGTGTTGCAGTATAGGGCACAATATAATACACAACCGCAGGTCGACATATACAGCGTCTCTGTCAGAATGGAGGTTTGGTTATTTCCGGTTGAGTGAGCTAAGCTTTGGGACGCAAAAGGGCATTGTTGTATCATTTCCGACAAATGAGTTTAAATACCAACTTTGATACGTACTTAGTTCGAAAATTTATCATTTTTCACAGAATCAAACTCTGACAGTTAAAGATACAGTTGCATTATGATCACAGTTAAACTTCATTTAACGCTACATATTTATTCCATGATTTTCGGAAACGATGTTTTCTTTCGACGCACGATTAAAACTGGCCTTCATCAAAGCGTCAATATCATTTTCACCTGCATAAATCGTAATTATACGGGCTCATCATGTTAATAATATATATTAGATGTATGAATAGATAAACGCGTACACATATAAATGTGAATTGTTGTATATCAGCCGTTAAAATCCTAACACCGTGAGCTCATTAAGGTAGTCGAGCCATCGATTTCATAAAAAAAAAAAAAAAAACATTACGAGACATTTTCCTACTAGTACAGAGAAATTGTGCTGTTTCCTGTCTGCAACTTGTTTAATTAGGTTATTCATCGATTGTTATTTGTCTAGAGAGATTTTATGGTATTTTTTGGAGATTTTTTTTTTTTCAATTTTGGTTCCAAATATCTCTACCGATAATTTCAATACCTTATGCCCAACCCTTTGTTTCAATTAAACATGTTTAAAAGGGGATGGTTGGCGTCTTTTGTTTCATACGATTTAAAGTAAATTAAATTTCGTTAATTTGCGTGATCGGAGTTTTAAATCTGCAATCAGTGACATATTTTCTCACAAAAGAAATCAATTGGTACTTGTCTTCATGGAAATATTTAATTTTTAGCATATTTCATTACCTGTGAGCGGCCTCACACCTGTGTGAAATGTCTGGGTTTTTTCCCTTGGTACATGTAGATGATAAGTATTATGTGTATAAGTTTCCAGTTGATAACGTCTGAAGGAGAAATCCTCATAGAAAAACTAGGATAATTAGATCTTCTCCAGATGCTACACTCACCTGAGGTTGTAAATGAGACCTATAATAATGTCAAAACTTCTATTACGTTTTTTTTTTTATTTTTTCATTTAAACAGGCCCATATCGATCCAATACTCGGCAAATTAGCGGATTTTAGCCATGTAGACATCCATTCAGCATCAAATGTCATAATATGTGAATTATTTATTTCTCAGTGTTGGAGACAAGTATTTTCCTCAAAATACAGTTGTGGGATCGCACAACGTTATATGATGTGCGCACGATAGGAAAACAGGACGAAATAAGCTGTCGCACAGATGTGCGATTCTATCATAGCTGATATAAATTTTAAAATGACACAAATCAATGTGGGATAGTGTTTATTTATTTTCTAAATATATTATACTAGAGCTAAGTATATAGTCAGACACATATATCAGATACAGACTGAACAGTTTGATACACTCGTAATTTAGAGTGTTTTGTTTCCACAGTGCCGCACGTGATCATAACAGTATATATGTAAACAGTTTGTTCCCGGCAGTGAACCATCTAAAATATCATAGTCAGACCGGAAATTTTATTTTCATTTCTTCCGTATTACTCTCATTTTTCTTTAATTTTGTAAACAAGAATATAAACACAGAGTTGACTTATTGACTTCTATTTATAAATGTAAACCATAAATCTTAGCGAGAAATAAAAAGTACGAGTTCAATGAATTCGAGGTTTGCTCTATACTATGTATTTGAAATGGATAGAAGCATTGGCTCAGTTGAGAAAAATGTCCTTTTTTAAAATATTGTGGTTAATCAATTTCTAATCATTGTCCTTCTTTTCCTTAGTGTAATGGGTTACTTTAAGATATAGTTAACGGGAGATGTTGTAGATCCCTTCTGATCTGAATCCTTGATCAAGAGTTTTCAGTTGTTAATCTTCAAATTTTAATTGATACAGTAATAATTAATTGTTCTGTTCAGATGTATTATCAAATTCTGGATTTTCTCACAGTTTTATTTGTTTTAATCAAAGTCACGGATGTCAGAAGATTTCTTCGTATATTGACTGTAGTATTGTGTGAAATCATATAGGACATAGAGTCGGACGATAAGAAAATAGCTCATGAAAGGAGATGGCTATAGTTCACACCTGTCCAGGTAAACTACAGGAGCTCTCAGTTGGGGTTTTAAGGAAGCTTTCTTCGAAATAACTGACCATGTGTACTCATATAATAATGTAACGATATGTACCGTGCTATTACGGACTAGCAGATGTGTAACATATATATAGACTACAATAGATATCAATATAGCCATGACTGAATGGGTCTCCAGAGTAAAACAGTACCTACTAAGTCCTTATAAGTAAAGAGTGTAATTTGATGAAATCACTCATCCATGACTGGCCCCATTCTACATGTGGGCTCTCGCGCTTACGACTCGATAAACGCTAAGGGGACGTAACCCATGTCATCCCGTAGAAATAGATGCATATACATCTGTCGTCTGTTAACTGACCCATATTTGGTCAGAAGGATCCTTGGTGGAAGGGGAACAGTTTTTGCGCAAAATTAATGGTGGGTATTGGGCCCATAAGGGAAATTTTCTTAAAAGTTCTTAAAAATCCAACCCCTTCTGTAGAAATGACTGAATATTGCCAAAATTTGGTCTGAAGCATCCTTGGATGAATAAAATCAATGTTGTGAAAAACGTCGGTCTCAATCCCCTTGGATAGGGTCCAAAAGGGAAAAAAGAGGAAATTCTTAAAAATGCCACTCCTCCTGCAGAAATAACTTGATTTTATCCAAATTTGGTCTGAAGCACCTTCGGTTGTTTGATTTTGAACCCCTGGGACAGGAGGGGCAGGGCTTATTAATGGAAATAGGGTAAATTGTTTAAAAAAATCTACTCCTCCTGTAGAAACAATTGCTTTTTTAACCAAATTTAGTCTACAGCATTCTTGGATGAAGGTGGATTTATTGTTTATATTAACATTTTAATTCCATCAAAATCGTTTGAACATAGTCGCTCTGTAAAACATTCCTAAGTTGGTGGCAATCGCAGAAAAGAAGACAACTCACAGTTCAGTCGAACTACCACAGATGTTCAAATTCTGTTCCCATTGATAAGAAGACTGCCCAAAGATAGGATATCATGGGAAGTAATATCTCGGAGAAAGCAAGTGTACATTGACTTCGTCAAATATGAGGTTTGTACATGGAAAGTTAGCATCTGTTTCCATATAATGAAATGAGATGAAAAACAAAACAAAACATAAAACTGCCACAATTCGTAAATTCAAAGTAGTAACAGATATGTTTTAGATAAGCAGTCTGAAATATTTCACATTGAAATTATGAAATCATATTATTTCCCGCTATAAAACGGTTTTGCTGTTTATGTGTATATATATGTAAGTATACCCCAATGAAAAACTAAACTTCCAGGTTATTCTTCATCTTGTCAGATTTCACTACAGACAGACAGACAGACAGACAGACAGACAGACAGACAGACAGACAGACAGAGAGTTTACTCCAACTTTTTTTCTCTTCTTTTTAATCGTTTAACGCTCATTTCTTAAGCTGTCTTAAGATGAGAGATACTCTGGACACGCTATATCACTGGAAATGACGATAGAAGAAAAACAAAAGAAATCATATCAGTTACCAGTTTATTCTACATAATGTATTAACCCTTTTTACGTCATAAGCATATGATAAAACTGAGGCGCAAGTGCCCCCTGGTGGTTATCTTCTGTAACTGACAGTATGTAGGGGGCGCTCTCACATGACTGGACTACCATCTACGAAAAAGAGAAAAAAAACAAGAATAATTAGGACCGCGAAAATTTCCATTATTTTTGGAGAACACATGATAATATATATGCAATATTGGCCAAAGGGTGGAGTGACACATCATCCAGAGGCGGTAGTATAAAAAAGACGTGATGGTAAATGTTGTTATATGATTTTGTATTAGTCAGTTTCATATTTAAACTCAATGGGAAAATATAAGTAAAAATGTAAATGAATCCAATATTTAAAAAAAATAGATAAATAAATAAAAAGTGTCCTAGTTGAGCTTCGAACCCCAGCCATAACCGAGTTCCTGGATAAAACTATACAAACTACGGTACCGTAAATTTATCGACTGTTTGCTCCACAGAACATTTATGTAGCTGACCTGTAAAATATCCGGTAGTACATTGCTACTTGAGGAAAAGTAGTCGATATATTTCTGGAGTAACTTTGGAGTCGTTTAGAAGCTTTGCAAAAACTGGCTCTTTCGAACGCTTACATGATTTAATGCATGATGCAAAAAATGTCAGCCTTGATGAACGAAGGACATTGGAATTTAATAGCAAATATTTCGGCAAGTAAACATTGTACAATGTTCTCGTGCCGTCAGATAATCTAATTTAGTCAATATATATATGCAGATCAGTTGTATAATCGATAAAGTCATTAACATAAAAATATTATCATATAAATACCAGAGACGTGTTATATATGTCTCTGTAAATACTTATTTAATTATAATTATTATTATTATTGCGTTATTCAAATTACAATTGAAATCAGACCAACTGTTGACTTATCCAAATTTGGTGGGTATCTTTACCTTGAATCCATTCGGAAGACACTCTATGAACACACCCGACAAGGCCAGGGAAAGGTTCTTGGTGTCTGTGGTAAATGCCTTGACGGCCGTGTAAGGTTTATGGAAGTAACAGTTTCTCATCATCTATCAATTAAAAAAGGAAACATTCTACATTTATCAGTGTAATTAGCAAATATTGCTTGACTTCTTTAGTCCACAATGTTGATTCATACAAATTTCAGTATGTGTGACGATTAAAAATAAAATCTATATTTTTCATTTATTGAACGAGTACAGAAATCTGTGTGAAAATAGAGACTGAAGCTTTACCTACTCGTGATATCATATAAGTCTTCACATTCACTAAATATTACAATTCCATAATCAAAACATCAATGCTTACACCTTTATTCTCCTGTTACGAGAGTTTTCTTTACGAAACAAAACTAAATTTTTCAAAAATAGGCACGCAGGGCCTGTATCGCTTGCATGGATCTTAAAGCCTAGCGATGTTATTCATGCCTATTGGTTGGGTATTTCAAATATTTCCAAATTAAGCTCAGTCACTTAATGTCTTCGATGGGGCAAGACAAATGGGTAAATCCTTATATCATTACTGTCTTATTCTTTTGATTCCCAGTAAGAGTTTATATGGCTATCAGGTTGGTATCTCAACTACCAAATACTATATCAAATGTATGACCCAGAAATAATGTCCTTTGAGACGTGCCACACCCAAGGGTCAATTCTTACATAACAAAAGTGTCTATCTCGTGATGCCAAGCAATTCTATATATAAATATATGGTTATGGGGTGGGGAATTCCAAATGTTTCAAAGATATCATTCAGAAATTAAGTCCAGAGGTGCGGGGTCACACCAAAAGGTCATTTCCTACATCATGATTGTGTTTATCTCTTGAAGCCCAATATTGTTATATATGGGGTTGGGATCTTAACAGCTGCAAAGCTATAACAAGGAAAGTAAGTTCCTGGGGATTAGGCCAAGCCCAAGGGGCAATTCTAATACCATGACTTTGTTTATCTCTTGATGCCCGTCATTGCCACATATGGTTAAAGGGTCTGCATTTCATCTGTTTCAAAGATATAACCAGGAACCTCAGTCCCTGGGGGTAGGGCCAGATTCCAGAACCAATTCTTACATCATGGTTGTGTTTATCTCTTTATTCCCAGTAATGTACATGGTTATGGGATAGGTATCTAAACTATTTTCAAACAAATTTCCCATATTGAGCCCAATCCCTCCTGCCCTAAGGGACCGAGATCCACCATTTATACAAAACTGATTTCCCTATACCAGATTAGGATTCTCACCAATCCAATAATTTCTACAGGAGGAATAGGATTTTAAAGAATTTGTTCTATTTCCCCTATTGGGCCCTGCTCCTCCCGCCCGAGTCAGCGGGATCTATCGTTTATACAAAAATGATTTCCTTTCACCTAAAGATGCTTCTGGCCTAACGTGGGCAAAATCCAATCATGCCTACGGGAGGAATACGATTTTAAAGGACTTGCCAAATTTTCCCTTTTGGGCGCCGCCCCTCAAGCTCTTGGGGCCGGGACACACTATTTATACAAAAAATGTTCCCCAATCCCCTTAGGACGCGTTTGACCAAATTTGGTCCAAATCCTCTCGGTCGTTCATGACTAGTAGCATTTTGTACGTAAAACTGCTTACAAAGACAATGTATTCTGCTTCAGGATGTAGCTTGACGTGTTGATGATCAGTTCAAATTAAAGTTACTAACCAGGAATTAATAAACATTGAAACGTCATTTTTCTATATTAGTCACTTACGTTGATTGTTATTTCCATCGAAAAGGCTAGTTTTCCAATAACAAGTGTGAAAATTAAAATTTTCTTTTACAAAATTTCCATTTCTAGTAAGTAGCATTCATGCTTCCCAAAACCTGCGGTGATTCCATGTGACTTTCTTGTAGTATTTGGTTCGACTTTCGAGAGAGGTAAGTTAATGAAGACTATGAGGAAGCGATTTATTGGTCGCTACCAACAGTAACGGGGAAATTCACTCTCCTGGGTCATCATATCAACTTTACATGCTTTCCTATTTCCTAGATGATTTTTTTTCTTTTTAACATTTCTACTTATCAATTCAATAGTGTTTAAATATCGATGTTGATTTAGTATTCAATGACCTTATCACGAAGTACTTTCTCAACGGTGTAAATCGCCGCTCTTGTTAACAAGTAGCCATGTATTTCAATGATATGTAACTTTGTAAGTATTAACTGTTGTGTAAAACAACACGTGAATACAATTATAATTCAAACTCAAATTCAATAAAATTAGGGCAAAATATGAACAAAAGAATGATCTCCACGGAGACTCGTGTCCAATAAGAATATAGCCAGATGTACAGTGTTTTCCTTGTTATTCAAAACAAACGGCATCAATATCATTAAAAGGCCATGTGATCGTTATCTGGTTTGATAAGCTCTTTGATAAATTCGGCCTCGTCAACTCTTTCAAGAGAGGGCTTAATATAGTTGAATTTCCATCAGTGTGCAGATATTCTACTGAAGATCTTGCTATCAACCCAAATATCGTAAACAGAAAAATCAGGTTTCTGACCACGATTTCTTCCCAAGTCCATGCAATCTTAAACGTGTTTTTCACGAAAAACGCTCTAGTAAAATTCACAGCCATATGCCTGTACCGGTATTCACCTTTCTTGAAAACAAACCAAGTATAACAAATCGTGTGTGGAAACATCAGTATTTACACTGTTGTTACTGAATGGTGATACAGGTTCAAACATAAAGGATTACACTAAGCGTTTTGGTAAAATATGTTGATCACCATACAATACTGACCGCGGCCCCTTTGAAGACAGTTGACTGAGGTGTGACGTCACAGACGGTGTACATAAGGTCATCAGAAGGGGCCTTGTCTGGATGATCCGGACAAGACTGGTTAACATTGTCGTTGATCGATATTGCAATATTCAAGGCAATTGCATCTAGAACCTTGATTTTATCGCATTTAACAGGCCTAGCGGAAGTCGACAGGAATGTTGCCGGAGCAGAGGTCAAGGTAGCAGAGGTCAGATGATCATGCGTCATCGGGGTAGACGTCATCGGGTCAGAGGTTACAGAGGCGGAGGGATTTGGTTTTAAACTGGAATGTTCAGTTGATAAATGTCCTAGAAAAACATGAAAATGTGCATGAAAAACTTCAAGAAAACACCAGCATGTCAACATAAACATAATCCTAACTCAAGATAAATAAAACTAGGACAAAATATTAACAAAAGAAAAATTTACGCGGAGACTCCTCTAAAAGTACTCTAAAAGTACAAGAAGAACGAGAACTGACATGACCCTCACTGATACGATATCATAGTGTAGGTAACAAGAACTGACATGACCCTCACTGATACGATATTATAGCGTAGGTAACAAGAACTGACATGACCCTCACTGATACGATATCATAGTGTAGGTAACAAGAACTGACATGACCCTCACTGATACGATATTATAGCGTAGGTAACAAGAACTGACATGACCCTCATTGATACGATATTATAGCGTAGGTAACAAAAACTGACATGACCGTTTCTGATACGATATTATAGCGTAGGTAACAAGAACTGACATGACCCTCATTGATACGATATTATAGCGTAGGTAACAAGAACTGACATGACCCTCACTGATACGATATTATAGCGTAGGTAACAAAAACTGACATGACCGTTTCTGATACGATATTATAGCGTAGGTAACAAGAACTGACATGACCCTCATTGATACGATATTATAGCGTAGGTAACAAGAACTGACATGACCCTCACTGATACGATATTATAGCGTAGGTAACAAGAACTGACATGACCCTCATTGATACTATTTGTTTGTTTTGCTTTCCTTAAAACCATACATTTTCATGTTGTTTTTCTCTTAAATTATTTTTTCGTTGACATTTGATTTCGTTGATCAATAGAACGCACGAATTCAACTAATGCTAATGCTATGTATTTTTAACTCTTCATCATTTGGTGGACAGATTCGTTGATAAAGAGTTCTGATGAAATCAACGAACAAAGATGATTTTACAAAATGCAAAACAGATAGACAAGTAAAAACAACATCATTCGTTATTGACAAGAGAACATGACATCAGACCTTACTGACAAGTTAAAGAGCACCATTCGTTATTGACAAATTACAACAGCACCATTCCTTACTGACAGGTAAACATAATACCGTTTCTTATTGACAAGTTAATACAACACTATATTCAGGAGAAGTTAACAAATGAGCTAATCCTAATATGCATCTTTTTACTTTGAGATTTTGGTGGATGTAGAGAGAACTTACTGACACAATAGTCCTTACACTGGTCATAGTGATAGTCACAGTCAGGACGAGTGGACAGATGACATGCCACGTGATGGTAAGGGTTGGATAGTCCGTAATCTTTTGTGTCTAAGGACAGAAATCAACATGTGACATATAAATACATATTAAATAACAAGGAGTTGGTTATTGAAACTCAAATTCAATAAACAAGGGCAAATGATAAACAAAAAATATTCATGGAAAAGTACAAGGAGTATAAAACCAGGTGTTCTGAAAGAGAAAACATTTTCTGCTTCATCAGTGACACCCGCCATGTAAATCACGGTCAATCCAATTTTGAAGTGTTACTTTCCTAAATGAGATAATTAATATTCATGACGTCTTATTTATATTCTTGATCCTGTGTTGGAATACTTAAGCTAACAAAGCTCGAAATATCTATTATGAATACATCCTTAAAATCCTGTGATATGCGTTTGTCTATGATAATTACTGACATGATTACTTCTTTAACACGTAACATTATTTCCCTTGTTCTCATTTGTGAACACGACATTACTTACTTGGATTAACCAAGGTTTACATGGCGGGTGTTGTTAATGAAACAGGGGACTCCTACTCTTCCGGATCACCTGGTCTTATACGCCTTGTACTTTTTCATGAGTCTTCGTGTAAATCTTGTTTTGTTCATATTTTGCTCTCGTTTTATTGTGTTTAGTTTGGATTATGTTGACATTATTGTATTTTCTTGTTATTTTCTTTGCGTTTTTCTACCATTTCTTATACTTGATATTGTAAAACAATTATTATGCAGAATCCCACGGCTTAATTTGTATAACGAATAATGTTAACAACTTAAAACACAAATGTTTACAACAATATTTACAAAAGTGTTTATCGAAACCTATTCCGTAATTAGTATAAACCTCATTCTGAATCGAACACCTGGTCATCATAAATTCACAAACTGATTAACGTAACTTAAATGAATGTTAAAATGTGTTATTCAGAACAATCAATTATTAATACTCACAATCGTAGCAAGGACAACAGGGTGGACACCAAGCAAAGTCACCAAGATGGAGCCAATCAACAACTAGAAACCGAGCTGAAAAACAACATTTTTATTTAACGGTATTTCATTCTAATAAGTACAAACGATTTTTAATAACTAATCACTTGTTTGCGCTGAAACGTGACCTATCAAGATTCCCACACGTTTTTCTGGTGTACCTTGATTTAGTTTCATGTATTTATTTATAGCTAACAATGTATACACTGTATGATATAAAACTAGAAATTTCAGTCTTTGCAAAGTCTAGAATATTTATAACATCTTGAACAATTAGCCAAAATAACACACGTTCACCAACCAGATAGTCAGCCAAGTATATGACAAAATCTCTTTACACAGACAAGTTTTTAGTTCAAACATATCGGGTTTACTTGGAGCAATATTAAAGATACTGTTTCTTCGGAGATTAATGAAATAAGCAGAAATATGAAATATCTTGTGGACCTGTTTAACCAGGAAGTTATCCACAGTGAGCGTTCCATGAAATATGTTCTGGAACGCTCCCAAATGCAAAAGAGACGAATTGCACTAACAACTATCCAAAAATGTGCAACTTAATCGACAACCTTCAGTCCAGCCTGCCGTATGTGGTTTTCTTCTTCATTTTAATATGAAACATATAATAATAATGTGGAACTGGGACAAGGATATGCATGCATATTATTATTTCCATGTTATCCGCCTGTTATCCAGTGAATTTGTAATATCTTGTATTGACACTATTGTAATATTATCTCATTTACATTGGCTGCGACAGTCAAAAATCGATTCTGACGTCATAATGTGGTAATGAGGTTACGTCACAAAATGGCGCGAGATGTCTTGATGAAGGGACAGTAACCCTGACATTTTTTTTTTATCAAATTCTGTTTTTACCACCTTATAACTTTCCAGCTGATGAAGAAAGCGATAGGAATCCGATACTGACGATATTAACGATTTTATAAAACGTTACTGTTATTTTACGAGATAAGGGTGTATGTTACCTCACACATTCTGTTAGAATGAATTGATATTTGTTACGTATGTAAGGACCATTAAGAAACATTGGCGAGCATTATGAATATATCAATAATCCTATATTATAGTCTATTGTTACCTGATTTCGATGTTGATATGTCTATATACCACAGAAAACACAGGGCAACCTGAAAAAGCAAATAAAATGAACAATGACGCAGACTAAACATACAAAATAGACCTAAACACCCGTAAGCTTTTGCCTATTTACTACTTTATATGAGTGAAAGTTTCCCCGCAGTTGAACTTTCACTCTTTTCGCCCTTGGTCAATGGGTTGAAATTAAAATTATGTAAAAGTTTGATGGTAAAGTTGGTATGTTTCACGAAATCGGCAAAATGTTTCAAAGTCTTTCAAGGGTATTTCTATCTGAATGTTAAAAAACCGATACAATACAAAAATATTTTTAAACACATATTGTGAAATAAATGAATGTACCATTTTCGAAAAGCTCGAACATTTTAATCATCAAATAACCATTTTACTACAAGTGTCATGAGCATAACAAAATACAATATATTCAATTATAAAACACAATATAAACAGTCATAAAACACAATATAAACAATCATAAAACACAATATAATCATAAAACACAATATAAACAATCATAAAACACAATATAAACATAAAACACAATATAAACAATCAATCATAAAACACAATATAAATAAAACACAATATAAACAATAAAAACACAATATAAACAATCATAAAACACAATATAAAGTCATCAAACACAATATAATCATAAAACACAATATAATCATAAAACACACTATAAACAATAATAAAACACAATATAATCATAAAACACAATATAAACAATCATAAAACACAATATAAACATAAAACACAATATAAACAATCATAAAACACAATATAAACAATCATAAAACACAATATAATATAATCATAAAACACAATATAAACAATCATAAAACACAATATAAACATAAAACACAATATAAACAATCATAAAACACAATATAATCATAAAACACAATATAAACAATCATAAAACACAATATAAACAATCATAAAACACAATATAAACACAATATAAACAATCATAAAACACAATATAAACAATCATAAAACACAATATAAACAATCATAAAACACAATATAAACAATCATAAAACACAATATAAACAATATAAAACACAATATAAACATAAAAACACAATATAAACAATCATAAAACACAATATAAACAATATAAAACACAATATAAACATAAAAACACAATATATAAAACACAATATAAACATAAAACACAATATAAACAATCATAAAACACAATATAAACATAAAAACACAATATAAACAATCATAAAACACAATATAAACAATCATAAAACACAATATCATAAAACACAATATAAACAATCATAAAACACAATATAAACAATCATAAAACACAATATAAACAATCATAAAACACAATATAAACAATCATAAAACACAATATAAACAATCATAAAACACAATATAAACAATCATATAAACATAAACACAATATAAACAATCATAAAACACAATATAAACAATCATAAAACACAATATAAACAATCATAAAACACAATATAAACAATCATAAAACACAATATAAACAATCATAAAACACAATATAAACAATCATAAAACACAATATAAACAATCATAAAACACAATATAAACAATCATAAAACACAATATAAACAATCATAAAACACAATATAAACAATCATAAAACACAATATAATATAATCATAAAACACAATATAAACAATCATAAAACACAATATAAACAATCATAAAACACAATATAATCATAAAACAAAATATAAACAATCATAAAACACAATATAAACAATCATAAAACACAATATAATCATAAAACACAATATAAACAATCATAAAACACAATATAAACAATCATAAAACACAATATAAACAATCATAAAACACAATATAAACAATCATAAAACACAATGTAAACAATCATAAAACACAATATAAAATCATAAAACACAATATAAACAATCATAAAACACAATATAAACAATCATAAAACACAATATAAACAATCATAAAACACAATATAAACAATCAAAAACACAATATAAACAATCATAAAACACAATATAAAACACAATATAAACAATAAAAACACAATATAAACAATCATAAAACACAATATAAACAATCATAAAACACAATATAAACAATCATAAAACACAATATAAACAATCATAAAACACAATATAAACAATCATAAAACACAATATAAACATAAAACACAATAAAACACAATATAAACAATCATAAAACACAATATAAACAATCATAAAACACAATATAAACAATCATAAAACACAATATAAACAATCATAAAACACAATATAAACAATCATAAAACACAATATAAACAATCATAAAACACAATATAAACAATCATAAAACACAATATAAACAGTCATAAAACACAATATAAACATAAAACACAATATAAACAATCATAAAACACAATATAAACAATCATAAAACACAATATAAACAATCATAAAAACACAATATAAACAGTCATAAAACACAATATAAACAATCATAAAACACAATATAAACAATCATAAAACACAATATAAACAATCATAAAACACAATATAAACAATCATAAAACACAATATAAACAATCATAAAACACAATATAAACAATCATAAAACACAATATAAACAATCATAAAACACAATATAAACAATCATAAAACACAATATAATCATAAAACACAATATAAACAGTCATAAAACACAATATAAACAATCATAAAACACAATATAATCATAAAACACAATATAAACAATCATAAAACACAATATAATCATAAAACACAATATAAACAATCATAAAACACAATATAAACAATCATAAAACACAATACAATCATAAAACACAATATAAACAGTCATAAAACACAATATAAACAATCATAAAACACAATACAATCATAAAACACAATATAAACAGTCATAAAACACAATATAAACAATCATAAAACACAATACAATCATAAAACACAATATAAACAATCATAAAACACAATATAAACAATCATAAAACACAATATAAACAATCATAAAACACAATATAAACAATCATAAAACACAATATAAACAATCATAAAACACAATATAAACAATCATAAAACACAATATAAACAATCATAAAACACAATATAAACAATCATAAAACACAATATAAACAATCATAAAACACAATATAAAACACAATCATAAAACACAATATAAACAATCATAAAACACAATATAAACAATCATAAAACACAATATAAACAATCATAAAACACAATATAAACAATCATAAAACACAATATAAACACAATATAAAACACAATATAAACAATCATAAAACACAATATAAACAATCATAAAACACAATATAAACATATAAACACATAAAACACAATATAAACAATATACAATATAATCATAAAACAATAAAACACAATATAAACAATATAAAACACAATATAAACAATCATAAAACACAATATAAACACAATATAAACAATCATAAAACACAATATAAACAATCATAAAACACAATATAAACAATCATAAAACACAATATAAACATAAAACACAATATAAACACAATATAACACAATATAAAACACAATATCATAAAACACAATATAAACAATCATAAAACACAATATAAACAATCATAAAAACACAATATAAAACACAATATAATCATAAAACACAATATAAACAATCATAAAACACAATATAATCATAAAACACAATATAAACAATCATAAAACACAATATAAACAAACATAAAACACAATATAAACAATCATAAAACAAAATATAAACAATCATAAAACACAATATAAACAATCATAAAACACAATATAATCATAAAACACAATATAAACAATCATAAAACACAATATAAACAATCATAAAACACAATATAAACAATCATAAAACACAATATAAACAATCATAAAACACAATATAAACAATCATAAAACACAATATAAACAATCATAAAACACAATATAAAAACACAATATAAAACACAATATATTCAATCATAAAACACAATGTAAACAATCATAAAACACAATATAAACAGTCATAAAACACAATATAATCAAAAAACACAATATAAACATAAAACAATATAAACAATCATAAAACACAATATAAACAATCATAAAACACAATATAAACATATAAACAATCATAAAACACAATATAAACACAATCATAAAACACAATATAAACAATAAAAAACACAATATAAAACAAATATAATCATAAAACACAATATAAACAATCATAAAACACAATATAAACAAACATAAAACACAATATAAACAATCATAAAACACAATATAAACAATCATAAAACACAATATAAACAATCATAAAACACAATATAAACAATCATAAAACACAATATAATCATAAAACACAATATAAACAATCATAAAACACAATATAAACAATCATAAAACACAATATAAACAATCATAAAACACAATATAAACAATCATAAAACACAATATAAACAATCATAAAACACAATATAAACAATCATAAAACACAATATAAACAATCAAAAACACAATATAAAAACACAATCATAAAACACAATATAAACAATCATAAAACACAATATAAACAATCATAAAACAAATATAAACACACAATATAAACAATCATAAAACACAATATAAACAATCATAAAACACAATATAAACAATCATAAAACACAAATAAACAATCACAAAACACAATATAAACAATCATAAAACACAATATAAACAATCATAAAACACAATATAAACAATCATAAAACACAATATAAACAATCATAAAACACAATATAAACAATCATAAAACACAATATAATCATAAAACACAATATAAACAATCATAAAACACAATATAATCATAAAACACAATATAAACAATCATAAAACACAATATAAACAATCATAAAACACAATATAAACAATCATAAAACACAATATAAACAATCATAAAACACAATATAAACAATCATAAAACACAATATAATCATAAAACACAATATAAACAATCATAA